ACCCTACACCCAAAGACCTGTGCCTGGAGTTTTCGATAGTTTGATTCGTCATAGCCGACCTTGAAAAGAACCCAGATGAACGTCACCTCGCAAGTGGATAAACAAGTCGTGGCACATCCCCCAAGGGGCGTACTGGATAACGACAAAAGGGAGTAATGGATGGACACAAGAGGGATGGATCTCAAAACCCGGTGCTCAGTGCACCAAGCCAGACACAGAAGACAGCGTGTTATATGGTGTCGTTGATATGAAACCTTGGGGAAGACAGATCTGATCTATAGTGACGTAAAGCAGATCAGTCCCCGGACGTGGTCCTGACTCCAGTCTTCTGGAGTGATGGAGCGTTCTAGATCCTGATTGCCGCACGGTTCCCCAGGCGTATACACTCGGCCGTACACTGGAACTGTGCGCATCTCAAGTATACTGCACAAAGTTAATCCCTTAAAAACAAAAATAAATGGGCGTTGTCTGCCTCTCTGGGTTCATCCTGTTTTATACTGGACTTAAAAGTGGTGTCCCTGACGGCCTCTGAGAGGAGACTTGGGTGGCCAGGGGCAGGCGTGGGAAAGAGATCTTCAAGTGTTTACCATTCTGTACTTTTAAACTTTTGAACTGCGAGGAGGCATTAGCGATTTCTTAAAATAAGTAAATTTAAAAATAAGAAAAAAGAATTTTAGAAACATGTTCTTTGTGGGTTAGGATGAGGAGGACACAGCCCTAAGGCTCTTGGGCCATTACTCATTCTATTTCAGGTTGTGGAAATCCTGCTTCTTGAGACAGCACTAGGTACGGTCTGTGTTTTATCAAACTCCTTGGAGCTGTGCGTCGATGCCATTTTTTTTTTAGCATTATTTAGTATTCTAGCATTTTTCATAAAATATATCATAGATAAGAACACAGGCACACGGAGTTTTAAAGTAATCAGAACTCAGGACGCCTGGATGGGTCAGTCGGTTAAGCGTCTGCCTCCGGCTCAGGTCTTGACCCCCGGGTCCTGGGATCGAGCGTCACATCGGGCTCCCTGCTCCGCGGGGAGCCTGCTTCTCCCTCTCTCTCTGCCTCCCTCTCTCCATCTGTCTTTCAGGAATAAACAAAGTCTTTAAAAAATAATAAACAGAACTTGAATGTCATGTAACTACCACCTGAGTCAAAACATAGAACACTGCCTGCACCCCAGAACTTTCCACGTGCGCCTCTACGGTCATACTTTCCCACTCCTTCCAGGGATAAACAGTCTCTTGATTTTAGGGATAAGAATCTCTTTCTAGGGGCACCTGGGTGGCTCAGTCAGTCAAGCATCCAACTCTGGATTTCTGCTCAGGTCATGATCTCGGGGTTTTGGGATCGAGGCCCATGTTGGGCTCTGCGCTGAGCGTGGAGCCTGCTTACGATTCTCTCTCTCTCTCTCTCCCTCCGCCCCTCCCCCACCTTTCCTTCCATCTCTTAAAAAATAAATGTCTTTCTAATCTCCTATGTGTATATCCCTAATCAAGACTGTTTAGTTTTACGCATTCTAAAACTTAAAAGACTGGATCATTCTACACATATCGTGTGCTTCTTTTGCACAAAGCTACATCTGTAAAATTCACCAATGGTGTTGCCTATAGCTGCAGTTTATATTCACTGTGATATAGTATTTTATGGTAGGAATGCATGTACCACAATTTACTCACCCATTAAAAGATTCATGGACACTTGGACTTTTTTTGGTCCATTGCCTATTAAAAAAAAAAAACCAAGTCCAAACACACAGTCTGACATTCAAGGTGACCATACTACCCCCAAATATGAGACCTGGCCAGTGCCATCTCCCTACTTTTCTCTACCAACCACTACCCGATTGTACCTGTTAAGTATATTGGTCAAAATATTATGAACAATTTCTTATGCCTGGAATGCTGCTGGCCTTCCATCAGACCTTTCCAACTCATTCCTGTCCATCAGGGTCTCGTTCCAGCCCAATTGCCCGATGAAGGCCCCACAATTTCTCCATTCACTATGCTGTCAAACCCCCAAAACCTCACCAAATGAATGATGCTTTCTGTTTCCACTCCCACACTTACTTCATGCAGCCTTGTTATACCCATTTGCTACGGCTGCGTCTCAGATTTTGTGCTAGTATACAGCACTAACATCTTACAGATAAAGGGCGGGTAAAAAACGTTAGAGCTTTTGAGCCCCAACTCAAGATCTTAAAAGCTACTGCTTGTATCAGGCACTAAATCATTCAAAAACATTTAAAAAGTTACTTTCCACAAAAATGCAATCACACCAACTAAAGAAGAAAAGAATCATCACTTTTACCTAAGACAAGATTTGGGTTCCTCATATTTCTAACACAATCTTTTATTCTCATAAAAAAGATAGAGTTTTAAAGTCTCTGGGACACAGAATGCCAGAGCTTCAGGTAAGTTAAGATCACTTGATAAGAAGCACACTATTTAAAGAAAATGATGACCTTGAAAATTGTTTTAATCCCAAAAGCCGGGGGGAAGGGGTGTAAAAAAACCTAACATTTTAATGGAATTAATGGATCAGAAATGACAATTGATAAGTATTTCAGTTGTTAATATAAAAAGAGCTCCCACAAATCAATAGGAATAAAAGCTCAATGGCACAACTAAAAATATGGACAAAGTTATTTATAAATAGACAATAATCCAAAGGAAAGATAATTATAACGGCTCTTGAACCTAAGAAAAAATTGTCCAATGCCAGAGAAATGCAAATTAAAACCAAATTTGGATACCCCTCTTCACCTACCTGATATGCAAGATCAGAAAGTTTGGTAAAACACTGTTAGCAAGGGGTCTAGAGACAGGCAGTCACACACATTGCTGGCTGGAATACAGATGTGTGGAACTCTAAGGAAATCCTATAATGATAACCATCAAAATTACACATGAACAGGGGCACATGGGGGGCTCGGTCGGGTGAGCACCCGGCTCTGGATTTCAGCTCAGGTCATGATCTCAGGGTCCCGGGATCCAGCTCCAGAGGGCTCCCTGCAGGGAGTCTTGCTCTCCCTCTGCCCTTTCCCCTGCTCACATGCTCTCTCTCTCTCAAATAAATAAATCAATTGCACAAAAAAAAAAAAAAAAATCACACGTGCACATTCTCTTGGACCCAATAACCCCACTTCTGGGAATCTATCCTACAGAAATGCTTAATATATGCAAGATAATGCATGTCCAAGGCCATTAGCTGTAACACTGAAACAGCAGAAGTTCGGAAAATGATTTGTGACATCCTTATGATGGAATTCTATGCGGCTGAAAAAGAACAAGGAAGTAATTGCCAAGACGTACAAGAACGGGAATAGCCCAAAGAGCATCCCACAACGTGCGTAGAATACTGCCTATTTTTGAAAATAGACACAAGCTGGAAAGATACAGAGGAAAGTAGTAACATTGGTTGCCTTTGGGAGAAAACTGGGTGGCCGGAGACCGGCATGGGAAAGAGATCTTCAAAGCCTGCGTCCTAGTGTAGCTTTAAATGTTTGAATTCTTGAGGCTATTCACTGTTTCTTAAGCAAATAAATGCAATTTAAAAGGAAGAGGATTTAAAAACATGTTCCTCGCTGGTAAAATGAGGGGCACACAGCCCTCGGATGCTTGGACTGTGCTCGCCTACTGCGGTATGTCCTCCCTGTTTGAGGGCTCCCAGAACTTCAGAACAGGACAAAGAAATCTGGAATAAACACTCGAAGCACAGCCAAGGTGTCCCAAGTGAGCTCCCATCCCGGGACGTGGTAAGACACAGCTCACTGGAAGAGGAGACGCAGACTAACCCAGATCAGCAGAAAGAAATCTCGAGTTGCTCCAGTTCACCCGGAAGGTGGCAAGCTGTGCGGGTTCTGTGCGCTTCACTTCCTGACTTTAAGGTCGATAAACCTGCGTCCTGCACCGAGGGGTCCCCTGCCAACCCCCGCAGGCCGTGCCCGGGCGGCTGATGCTCATCCGGAGGCCCCGGAGGCCGCGGCTGCAGACAAAGGGCCTCCGAGCGGATGACAGGCCGCGTCCCTCCCTCCCGGGGCCGCACCCTCCGCCCTCCGCGGGGAAGGCGCTTTCTGCAGAGGCAGACCCGCGGACCCAGGGGCTTTTCCGGACTCGTTCCTGCGGCTCCCATCTCGCGCCTCACCTGCGAGCGAGGCACACACCTGGGGCGGGGGGCCGCGGGCGCTGTACCTGAGCCACCTGCTTGCCTCGGTTTGCCCGCAGGGAGCCGTCAGCCCAGCCCTCCGGGGGATGCCAAAGCACCGTGCGGCGCCCACGCCGCGGCCCACGACGGCGGCGCCCCGGAGCGTGTGGCCGAGCCGGCCGGGCTGCGAGCCGGGCGCAGGGGCCTGCGGAGCTCGCGGGCGCGGAGTGGGCGAGCGGGCGACGCCCCAGCTCCGGAGGGCGCCGGGCACACCTGCAGGTCAGGCGCCTGGGCCCGCAGGCGCACGGAGGGCGGCAACCGTGCACCGGGAGGGGGGACGGGGCAACCGTGCACGGGGGGGGGGGGGAACGGGACAACGGTGCACCGGGGGGGGGGGGACGGGGCAACCGTGCACCGGGGGGGGGGGAACGGGGCAACGGTGCACCGGGGGGGGGACGGGGCAACCGTGCACCGGGGGGGGGGGGGAACGGGGCAACGGGGCGCCGGGAGGGGGGGGACGGGGCAACCGTGCACGGGGGGGGGGAACAGGGCAACGGTGCACCGGGAGGGGGGGTGCACGGGGGGGGGCAACCGAGCACCGGGGGTGGGGGCAACCGTGCACGGGGGGGGGCCGGCGGCAACTGTGCACGGGGGGGGGGGACGGGGCAACTGTGCACCGGGAGTGGGGGCAACCGTGCACGGGGGGGGGGGGACGGGGCAACTGTGCACCGGGAGGGGGGCAACCGTGCACCGGGAGGGGGGCCGGCGGCAACCGTGCACGCGGAGGCCCAAGGCGGGGCCGGGCCCCCCGCGCGCCCCAAGGTCACCCGCCGCCCCGGGGGGCGCCCCGCCGCGCTCACCAGAACAGCAGGTTGGCCGCCAGGAAGCCGAGCAGGCTGCGCCGCGGCCTCTTCCAGCTCAGCAGCTCGTCGGCGCGGCCGCCCAGCCACAGCCCGGGCTCCCCGAGCAGCCAGCTCACGGCGGCCGCCACCCCGCCCGCCGCCTCCGGCACCTGCAGCCCCGCGCCCGCCGCGCGCTCCTCGGGGGCGGCCCGGGGCGGCGGCGGGGCCCGCGGCGCCTGCTCTCCGGCCGCGGGAGCCGGACATCCCTCCGCGCCGAGCTCCGCGGGCGCCGGGCTCGCCATCTTCGCGGGCGGCCGGGCTCGGGCTCGGGCTCGGGCTCGGGCTCGGGCTCGGGCTCGGGCACGCGCGCCTGCGGTCGGCGCCGGGAGGGCGGCGGGTCCCCGCGCGGGGCGCGCACCGTGGGGCGCCGGCGGCCGGGGGCCTGGTGACGTCAGCCCCGCGGCGGCGGAGGGGCGGGGCGGGGCGCTCCCGGGAAGTGGGTGTGGCCAAGCCCGCCGGGGCGGGGCGTCGGCGGAGGGGGCGGGGCGGGGCGCTCCCAGGAAGTGGGTGTGGCCGAGACGGGGCGGGGCGGCGGCGGCGGGGGCGGGGCTACCGGGGAAGTGGGTGTGGCCAAGTCCGCACGGGGCGGGGCGGGGCGGCGGCGGAGGGGGCGGGGCCTGCGGTCCTGCCTGGGGGCGGCCGCGCAGCCAGGGGAGCGCAGAGGGTGGCGCGGCACCGGGGAGAAGAGTCGCCGAGGTCCCGCGAGCAAGGGGCGGCGGCCACAGGGGGCCCTGGGCCCTGGGTGGGGGGCGGGGGGCAGGCGGCCGGCTCGGACGTGGCGGCCCGGACCCAGGAGCCCTGACCCGAGGCCCCGACGCTGAGGCCCGGACCCGGGAGCCCTGATGCGGGAGCCTGGACGGGGAGGCCCCGACGGACGCGGAGGCCCAGACCCGGATGTGGAGGCCCCGACTGGGAGCCCAGACCCGGAGGCCCTGACGCGGGAGACCCCAACGCGGAGGCCTGGACCCGGATCCGGGAGCCTGAAACCAGAGGCCCCGACGCTGAGGCCCACACCCGGACGTTGAGGCCTGAACGTGGGATGCTGGATGGGGAGGCCCCAACGCCGAGGCCCAGACCTGGACGCAGGAGCCTGGACCCGGAGGCCCCAACGCTGATGCCCGCACCGGGATGCAGGGGCCTGGATGCGGGAGCCAGGACGAGGAGCCCCGATGCAGAGGCCCAGACCCGGATGTGGAGGCCCCACCTGGGAGCCTGGACCCAGAGGCCCGGACACGGGAGCCTGGATGGGGAGGCCCCAACGCGGAGGCCCGAACGCAGGAGTCTGGACAGGGAGGCCCTGACGTGTAGGCCTGGACCTGGCCCTGAGAGCCTGGATGGGGAGACCCGGACACTGAGGCCCACACCCAGACGTGGAGGCCTGGACACGATATCCGGGACGGGGAGGTCCCAACATGGAGGCCCGGACCGGACACAGAGGCCCGAACGCGGGAGGCTGGATGGGGAGGCCCAGAAGTGGAGGCCCAGACCCGGACGCAGAGGCCCGGACTGGGAGCCCGGACCCGGAGGCCCAGATGCGGGAGCCTAGACGGGGAGGCCCTGATGCGGAGACCCCGATGCGGAGGCCTGGACCCGGACCCGGGAGCCTGGACCCGGGAGCCTGAACCCGGAGGCCCCGACGCTGAGGCCCACACCCGGATGCGCAGGTCCGGACTGGGAGCCCGGACCTGGAGGCCCAGACACGGGAGCCTGGACGGGGAGGCCCCCATGCGGAGGCCCAGACCTGGACACAGAGGCCTGGACTGGGAGCCCAGATGCAGGAGCCCGTACACGGGCCCGAAGCTCGGCAGTGAGGAGGGGGCGACGGGGAAGCCGCTGCCGCGGGGCCTCCACAGCCCCGTGTTTGCGCGAGTGCGGGGGGAGCCACAGGGACTGCACTGACCCCGGTCACTGCGTTTTGCGCAGCCTCGGCCTTGACCCCGGGGGCGTCGGTGGCGCCGAGTGTCTGCCCCGTCCACCCGCCGGGAGCCCGTGTCGCGGCGCAGGGCTGGCTGCGGAGCAGGGACCGCCTTCTGCCCGGGGCACCCCGGGGATGCTCGCCTGCAAGGCCTGTCCACACCTCGCGGCACACACGCCCCAATGCACCGGTGTGCCTGCTGCAGGTGTGCGCCCTCGGCCGCGCTGGTGGCTTATGGGGACCTGTTCAAGTTCCCTTGGGGTGTGCTGAGCCCCAGGGAAAGGCTTCCGCCCTCAGGAAACCCCAGGCCGCGGGGGCTCAGCAGGTGCCCCCCACTGCCGGGCCTGAGAGCCTTAACTCCCATCACCCAGGTTAGGGAAGGAGAGGCAGAGCCGGGTTTCGGGCCGATTCATGACAATGGCATTGGCCAAATCTCGAGGAGGAGGGAGGCGAGGTGGTGGTTTCTGCCGGGAGACGAGGAGAAGGAGGTGCACGCGGGCGGGTACAGAGTTCCTGGGGGGCGTTGCGGCCCGCTGGGGCCTTGAAGGACGATCCACTAGCGGGGGGCAGTCTGGGTGCTTTCCTGCAAGCGCGGGGGGCTCCGCGAGCCCCACTTGCCCTTGAGGAGAATCTGACCACCGAGGCAAGCGGCCAGGGACGCCCTGATAAAGCATCGTGGAAACAATTCAGGTATTTTTTTCCAGAAAATAAAGACTCGCCTTTGCGGGGATGTTGGCCCTGCCGCACAAGCTTCCGTGTCAGCTGGCCTTGGGGGGCTTGGGCGCGGCCGGGTGGTGACATCCTGCCATCTCCCCTGCACTGCATCTGGAGGGCACCGGAGACCAGGGACCCGGTCATCCCCATCGACCAAACAGCGTGGACGTGGACGTGGACGTGCTGCTGGAAACACGGCTGCAAGACTCTCCGAGTTCCTTCGTCTCCCCGAGTTCTAATTGCCGTCGTCGGGGTCTGTGGAAGTGGTAGACGGTGTGGACAAGAAGGCACGTAAAGGCTAAACTTTTGTCACTGTGCGTGTTTTGTGCAGTAGGTTTTGTCTCTGTAGGGGACGTGGTCTCCTCCGTCCTACCCACCCGTAGCAGGTGGCCCGCGCGGGGCCACTCGCTCTTCCTTCTAAAGGAGCTGGGAAGCGTGCAAGGGGAGGGAAGAGAACGAGTGACTGGCTCTCACTCCAGAGGGCCACACAGACGTCAGGCCGGCCCTGGGTGGATGGAGGCGCCCCAGCAGCGCGTCTGTTTTGTCTTAATCCTGCAGTAGGGCCGTGACCCGAGTGGAGCGGCGCACGTAGAGGTTTGGGGCTGACGGTGAAGGGTCACCTTCTGTTCTCACCATCGCCTCTACTCCTTATTCCTCATCTTCCTCCATCTCCCCGCCACTGGGCAGGAGCACTGGAGAGCGGACTGCGGGCCGGAGAAGCGGGAACGTCGGCCACAGCGGCGACGCCCGGACGGCCCGAGACCCGGCTGAGCTTTCCAAGGCCCAGCTCGCTGGAGGGGAGGGGCGCGTCTGCCCTGGGTCCGCGGTGGGCGCCCGGGGTCGGAACGTCCCACCCGCAGTCGCCTGCGCCTGCCGAGCGTGGGGTCAGGGGTGCTCAGCACCGACGAGCAACCACGCACCTCAGCTGATGTCACACAACGGGGGTGGTTAAGGCCTCAGGGTGGTGATGGCGACCTGAGGTCCTACTGCACCTGGAGGGTCTCCCCGAAAGGGACTAGCCTCCTCGTGCACGTGCGCACAGCAAGGACAGCTCGGGGCGTTAACTTTTTTTTTTTTAATATTTTATTTACTCATGAGACACAGAGAGAGGCAGAGACACAGGCAGAGGGAGAAGCAGGCTCCCTGCAGGGACTCGAGCCCAGGACCCAGGGTCACGCCCTGGGCTGCAGGCAGGGGCCCCAGGACCCTAAGCTCCATCCGTCCCCACTGGGCCAGCACCTGCAGCCACCTGAGTGGGGCAGCTGTGCCTTGGTGCTACCTTGGAGGAGGTCGCCCAGAGGACGTGACTGCAGGTGCACCCACAGTGAGACCTGGGCAAATGCGGGCTCCCCCCGCCCCCGCCTGTCCTCGGAGGGTAGGTTTTGTCACGCCTTCCCATGGTAGGAGCCGTCTCAAGGACGCGGCCCCAAAGGGTGCTGTTGCATACGGCCTCTGTATGACCTTTAAGGTTTTGCGGACAGGTGTGGGGATCTTGCCCAAGACAAGCCTCGTCGGTTAGGTTCCTGCGTGTTCGGCCTGCCACCTGCCACCTGCCACCGGGTGGCCTGCCTCCGCCCCCGTCCTTGCCGTCCCTGTGGGGCGGGGGTGTTCAGGGTTCACCTGGGAAGCTTCCAGAGCTGGGAACCACCACCCTGGCCTGCAGCCTCCCACTTGGCACCCCCAAGCCCCTTGGTCCTGGTTCCGGCTTTGCAATTTTGTATCACTCATTCTTTGTTTCTTTGTTTACGGGCCATTACACACTCATTAGAGGCCGCTCGTGGGCTCCCAGTAAGGTGGGCTGGGCGCCCAGGTCACGGGCAGGGAGCCGAAGGAAGTGAGGTGGGGGGACTGGGGTTAGCCTGGAGGAGGACGAAACCAGCCTGGCCCAGAGAGGGGATTGGGGACAGGCCCGGCCTGGGGAAGGGAGCAGGCACGGGAGGGGAGGGGAGCCGGGACAGGCCCAAAGCTTGAGGACAGAGTGGGGCCAGCCCTCAGAAGGGCCCCCTCCGTGTGCTGCTAGGGACTTTGAGCCTGGGGGTCCGTGGGGGGCTTGCAGCACGAGGGTGTTTTAGAAAGCTGTGTGGACCGTGGGTGACAGCGCCGGGCAGGGCCTCGGGCAGGGCCTCGGGCAGCACCTTCTTGTTCACTGAGGCGAGCTGAGGGGGGCGGGGGGGCTGCCCTTGCACAGGTCTGTGGGGTCCCGGCGAGCCCGGATCCGGGCGGAGGGCAGGACCCGAGAGGCCAGGGTGGGTTCCTAGCACTGGCCCGAGCAGTGGCCTGCGTGCGACCTAGGACATGGGGGGGGGGGGGGCTGCAGGAGCTCGAGCTCCAGCCCGGGTGTCCTCTGGGCTAGAACCAGACCCGTGGGACGCCGTGACACGTCCACATGCGCCTTCAAGACGTGTGCTCCGCTCGTCACCTATGACCACCTTCAGTCCGTTAGGAATCAGGCACTAACGCTGGCGACCCTGTGGCCGGGCTGGTGGGCGAGGTGGCCCGGGTCATGGGGACCCTGTGGCCCGCGCGCGAGCGTTCAGCGTGCACCAGGGGGTGTTCGTGGGGACCGGAAGCTGCTTGGGACGTGTGTTCCATGAAGCGGCAGAGGAACCGTGAGGCACGTGTACCCCGCGCCGGGGCGGTGGGCGTGCGCAGGCCGGCGGTGGCCCTGCTGCG